AATATACATGCTAAACTTTTAATAAGTTTCAAATGGTCTGTGAACAGAGTTCAACAAAATTTGTTCAGTGTAAGCTTCATCAAGAAATAGAGATTTGGTTGGGCATGGTGGCTCATGTCTGTAAGCCCAGCATTTTGGGAGGCCGGGGTGGTGGATTGCTGGAAGTCAGGAGTTTGAGACCAGTCTGGCCAACATGATGAAACCACATCTCTACTAAAAATACAAAAATTAGCCGAGCATGGTGGTGGGTGCCTATAAGCCCAACTACTCGGGAGGTTGAGGCACGAGAATCGCTTGAACCTGAGAGTCAGAGGTTGCAGTGAGCTGAAATCACACCACTGCACTCCAGCCTGGGTGACAGAGTGAGTCTTTGTCTCAAAAAAAGAAAGGAAGAAAGAAGGAAGGAAGGAAGGAAGGAAGGAAGGAAGGAGGGAGGGAGGGAGGGAGGGAGGGAGGGAGGGAAGAGGGAGGGAGGGGGGAAAGAAAGAAAGGAAAGAGAGAAAAGAGAAGAGAAGAGAAAGATTGATTTATGAAATGCTTGCAGAAGAAAATCTTGCTGAAACATCTGTATGTGAGTGACTGATAAGGCTGACCTGGTGGCCTCTGCTTCTGTAGAGAAAAGGATATGGCATGTGCTATTTCTACCTTGGCAAGTGGCACTAAATGCCTACCCATAAGAGCAGAGCTGATGGGTTTTCTTTACACTTTTAATCAAAGTGCCCTCTCTATACAGAAAATGCACATTTTATAAGTGTATAGTCTCATGAATTTTCACAACATGACCTCACCTATGTCACTGGGAGCCAAACCAAAAAACAGAACATGAAGTTCTCCCATGTCTTTTTTTAGCCACTCTCTTCTGAAATTGGCGTACTGGCTAGATTTTTGGCCCATGTTTGTATTTTGTGTCAATGAAATCATGCAATGTTTCTTTGTGTTTGACCTTCTTTTTTTTCTTTTAGACGGAGTTTCACTCTTGTTACCCAGGCTGGAGTGCAATGGCACAATCTCAGCTCACCGCAACCTCCGCCTCCTGGGTTCAGGCAATTCTCCTGCCTCAGCCTCCCGAGTAGCTGGGATTACAGGCACGCGCCACCATGCCCAGCTAATTTTTTGTATTTTTAGTAGAGACGGGGTTTCACCATGTTGACCAGGATGGTCTCGATCCCTTGACCTCGTGATCCACCCGCCTCGGCCTCCCAAAGTGCTGGGATTACAGGCTTGAGCCACCGCGCCCGGCCGTGTTTGACCTTCTTCACATAACATTATATTTGTGCAATTGTTGTGTGGTTGCGTTCATCTATTCTCATTGTTGAGTGAAATTTCTTTGTGCAAACATACAATTTAGTTACCCATTCTGGACATTTGAATAATTTCTAGTTTGGGGCTCTAATGAACAGAGCTGTGATGTACATTCTTATACGTGTCTTTGGGTGAGCATACATCAACATTTTTGTAGTATATATACCCAGGAGTGATCTGCTGGGTCGTAGGACATGCCAAATATTTTACAGAGTGATTTCACTAATATTCACCACCAGCAACCCTATTCGAGAATTCTAGTTGCTCCATATCCTTGCCAACACTTGGCATTTTCTGTTTCATTTTAGCCATTCTGATGTGTGTGTGGTGGTTTCATTTGGCTTTGCCCTGATGATTGATGTGGTTGAGCACATTTCCCTTTGCTCATCAGCTATGAGATTATTTCCTTTGGTGAGAAGTCTAAGTTCTTTTCTCATTAAAATTTGGTTGTTTGTCCTTTTATGACTGATTTACAAGAGTTCTTTATGTATTCTGGATACAAATTGTTTATTAGATATTTATTAAATATTTTCACTCTCTTAATGGTGTCTTTTCATGAATAGTTCTTAATTTAATAGGGCCCAATTGATTAATGTTTTATGAATAAAGCAATTATTTTCTGTTCATGACATTTTGGCCTACTGCAAAGTTGTGATGATGTTACTGTTTAATTTTTCTTCTGAAAGCTTTATTTACTGATTGTTACATTTTACATGGAGATATTATTAATCTGGAATTATTTCATGTGTATGATGAAAACAGGGGCCCAGATACATTCTTTTCTCTTATATAAATATCAATTTCACTCAATCCCTTTTTTCAAAAGACCGTCCTTTCCTCGCTACATTACAGTATTGCATTTGTCATAAATCAGGAGAGGATCTGTTTCTGTACTCTCTGTTCATTTCTGCTGGTTAGTTTGCCCATTCTTTCATTACTTTTACACTGTCTTAATTTTTGAACTTTAGTATGAGTTGATATCTGGCAACATAAGTCCTCCAGCTTTGTTCTTCAAGATTACCTAAAATTTCCACGTGAATTTTAAACCAGTTTGTCAATTTTGACAAAAAAATCCTGCTTGAATTTTGCTGGAATATTGTTAAATTTATCAATTCAGGAAAGCATGAACATCTTTACAAACTCAGGTCTTCTAATCCATGAACATGGTATATTCCTCCATTTATTTGTGTTTTGTCTATTTCAATAATATTTTTAAAAATCAGCCCAGAGGTCTTGCACAACTTTGTAAGGTTTATTCCTAGGATTTTGATTTCTAAATGTTATTATAATGATATATATATATTTTTGTTTTCTATTCATTTCTTGTTAGTAAATAGAAATACAATTAAATTTTGTGTTCTGGTCTTTTACGTCCAGAAATCTTGCAGTTTCACTTATTAATTTTAAATTTTTTTCTTGTTAATATTCTCTTTTAATTGACAAATAATACTTGTACATATTCATGGGGTACATAGTAATGTTTCAATATACACAGTGTGTAGGAATTAGAGCAAGGTAATTAGCATATCCATTATCTCAAACATTTACCATTTCTTTGTATTGGAAACATTCAATATCCTCCTTCTAGCTGTTTGAAGTGATATAACATATTACTGTAACTCTAGTCATCTTACAGTGCTGTAGAACGCTAGGACTTATTCTTCCTGCCTAGCTGTAATTTTGTATTCTCTGGCAAATAACTCCCTCTCTTCCCCCTACTCTTCTCAGCCTCTAGTATCCTCTGTTCTACTTTTTACTCCTATGAAATCAATTTTTTTTTTTTTTTAGCTTCCACACATGAGTAAGAACATGTGGTATTTAACTTTCTGTTCCTGGCTTATTTCACTTAACATAATGTCCAGTTCCATCTATGTTGCCACAAATGACAAGATTTTATTCTTTTTATGGCTGAATAGTATTCCATTGACTATATGTGTGTGTGTGTGTGTGTGTGTGTGTGTGTGTGTGTGTGTAGTCAATGGAATACACACACACACACACACATATATCCAATTTTCTTTATCCATCCATTCATTCATTGTTGGGTGCCAGGTTGATTCCATATCTAAGCTATGGTAAATAATACTGCAACAAACACGTGGGTGCAGATGTCTTTTCAATATGCTGTTTTCCTTCCCTTTGGCTAAATGTCCAGTAGTGGGATTTCTGAATCATAGAGTAGTTCTATTTGTAGTTTTCTGAGGAGACTCCATACTGCTCTCCAGAGTGGCTGTATTTGTTTACATTCCCACCAACAGTGTATAAAGAGTTTCCTTTTCTCTACGTCCTCACCAGCATTTTTTTTTTTTGACAGTAGCCATTTTAACTAGAGTGAGGTGATACCTCTTTCTGGTTTTGATTTGCATTACCCTGAGGATTATTGATGTTGAAGATTTTTTAATATATTTATTGGCTATTTTTTATGTCTCTGTTTGAGAGATGTTGGTTCAGATCATTTGCCCATTTTTAAATTTTTTTTTTTTTTGGTGTTTAATTGTTCAAGTTGCTTTGTATTTTGGATATTAATCTCTTGGATAAATAGTTTGCAAATATTTTCTCCCATTCTGTAGGTTGTCTTTTCACTCTGTTGGTTGTTTCCTTTGCTGTACAAAAGCTTTTCAGTTTGCTATATAATTCCATTTATTTATTGTTGCTTTTGTTGCCTGTACCTTTGAGGTCTTATTTATTAAATCTTTTTCCATACCAAACTCCTGAAGCATTTCCTTTATGTTTTCTTCTAGTAGTTTCATTGTTTGAGGTCTTACATTTAGGTATTTCATCTGTTTTAAATCAAATTTTATACAGGCTGAGAGGTTGGAACCTAGTTTCATTCTTCTGCATATAAAGATTCAGTTTTTCCAGCACTATGTATCAAAGAGATCATCCTTTCTCCAATGAATGTTCTTGGTACCTTTGTCAAAAATCAGTTGGTTGAAGATATGTAGATTAATTTCTGGGTTTTCTATTCTGTTTCATGGGCCTGTGCATCTGTTTTTATGCCAGTGCCATGCTGTTTGGGTTACTATAGTTTTGTAGTATATTTTAAAGTATGATAGCCTGATACCTCCAGTTTTGTTCTTTTTGATCAGGATTGCTTTGCCTATTTAGAATCTTTTGTGGTTCTATACAAATTTTAGAATTTTTTTAAAATTTCTGTAAAAAATGTTATTGGTATTTTGATAGGAATTTTATTGAATCTGAATGACTGTGGGTAATGTTGCCATTTTAACAATATTAATTCTTCTGATTCATGAGCATGGGTGTCTTTCCATTTGTTGTAGCCTCTTAGTTTCTTTCATCAGTGTTTTATAGTTTTCCTTTCAGAGGTCATTCACTTCCTTGATTAAATTTATTCCTAGCTGTTTTGTTTTATTTTTGGTAGCGATTGTAAATGGGATTACCTCCTAGATTTCTTTTTCATCTCAATTCTAAGAGTTTTTAGGTAGAGTATTCAGGTTTTTCTGTGTAAGACTACACTGTGTTCAAACAGGGAAATTTTGACTTCCTCTTTTCCAATTTAAATGTCCTTTATTTATTTTTCTTGCCTAATTGCTCTGGCTAGAACTTTCTTCACCTGTTCTAATAGTTTTTAGGTTCCCTTGGGTTTTCTACATGCATAATCATGTTCTCTATAAATAACAAACATTTCATTTTTTCCTTTCTAATGCTTCTGTTCTTTCTTTTTCTTGTCTTACTAGGCCAGGCCTCGAGGAGCATGTTGAATAAAAGTGGTTGTGCTGGGCATGGTGGTGAGTGCCTGTAGTCCAAGCTACTCGAGAGGCTGATGTGGGAGGATCACTTGAGCCCAGGAGTTCTGGGCTGTAGTGGGCTATGCTGATTGGGTGTCTGTACTAAGTTCAACATCAATATGGTGACCTCCCAGGAGTGGGGGACCACCAGGTCACCTAAGGAGGGGTGAACCATCCCAGGTCAGAAATGGAGTAGGTCGAAACTCCTGTGCTGATCAGTAGTGGGATTGTGCCCGTGAATAGCCACTGCACTCCAGCCTGGGCAACATAGCAAGACCTTGTCTCTTTAAAAAAAGTGGTTGAAAAGGCATTTTATCTTGTCCCTGAAGCTCAGAGGGAAAGCTGTCAATATTTTACCATGAGAATTGAAATTTGCTGTTGATTATTTTCCCTCTCCCAAATACTAATCAGGCCTGTTCCAGCCTTGCTTCTGAGATTAGGCACATTCAGAGTGGTATGGCCGTAGATTGCTGCGGATTCCCTTATACCCCTTCTCACATTGAGGAAATTCCCTCCTGTTTTTAGTTTAATAAGACTTTGTTTGTAAAATGTTTATAATTGTTATTAATATTATTAGTTTTGCATCTTTCAAGACATTTGTGTTATTTTCCTCTTTTCTCTCATTGCTGTTGTATATTGCATTGATTGAGCTATTGTTAAGCCATCCTTGCATCCCTGCAATAACCCCCCCTTGATTTTAATATATATTATTATTTTTACATATTACTTGATTGATTCGCTGATATTTTATTTAAAACTTTTGCATTATGTTAGGAGACTGATCTTTAATTTTTCTGTCTTGTAATATTATTTTAAGGTTGCAATGGTTTGTATTTTCTTTATAGTTAGATTAAACATATTTTCATGTTTAAGAAAATTCTAAATTTTATTCTTCTGTGAACTACTTATTTGTGTTCTGTGCCTATCTCTCCTTTGTCCTTCTTTCTTGTCTATTTTAGAAAGTTTTACACATTAAGAAAATGTATCTTTTGTCTCACATATGCATGCTCAATATATTTCTGCCAATTTTAAATTTATCTTTTGATTTCTGTTTACTGTATATTTTTGTGACTATGCACAACATTCAAAATTTTTATATACTCCAGGATTCCAGTTTTTCACAGCTTCCGTGTTTGAAGTCTTGCCTTGAATAATCGTCAAATTAGTTTTAGACTTCTATGGCTTTATTTCTTAATGGTTAAATATTTGACTCCTAGCATTTTTTTGAGAGCAAAGAACACATCATTTTTGTTAGGCCGAAGGGAACTACCATAAACCTCTATTTGTCCAACTAAAAACTCAGTCCCCGAGAGCAGGACTGGGTCTGTTTTCAGGCTCTCATCCTCATCCACGCTGCATGAGGTAGAACTGGAACAACATAGTAGCCCCTGTTTGTGCAGGGTTAAAAAAGCAGCGTTAGAGCTCTTTCTCCACTTTTGAAATACTTTCTGAGTTTCCTCATGTCAGACCTTGTGTTGGGTGCTGAGGAGCAGGCGGGGAAACAGCAGAGCTCACTGGGCTGAGCCTTGGGTTCTGTGACAGCTGGGGACACTCTCCATGAAGACATCCCAGAGGTGAGGGAGTGTGTGCAGCATTCAAGGCAGGGGCAAAGCACAGAAGTGTAGGGGCTGTGGAAAGCCCCAGGGCTCTTGGGTCTTGTGGAAGAACAAATTCAAGGTGAGTCTGGAAAGTGAAAGCGAGTTTATTCGGAAAGTAAAGGCATAGACAGAGTTGACCATTTTTATGGTTATTTCTTGATGATATGCTAAACAAGGAGTGGATTATCCATGCCTTCCCTTTTTAGACCATGTAGGGTAACTTCCTGACATTGCCATGGCATTTGTGAACTGTCATGACACTGGTGGGAGTGCCAGAGGCATGTGAACCAGAACAACTGCATCTTGAATAGGAGCTGGGTAAAATGAGGCTGAAATCTACTGAGCTGCATTCCCTGACAGTTAAGGCATTCTGCTGTGGTTCAAACACTTCTGACAGGCCAGGCGCGGTGGCTCATACCTGTAATCCTAGTAGCACTCTGGGAGGCAGAGGTGGGTGGATCATGAGGTCAGGAGATTGAAACTATCCTGGCTAACACAGCGAAACCCCATCTTTACTAAAAATACAAAAAAATTAGCTGGGCGTGGTGGCAGGCACTTGTAGTCCCAGCTACTCAGGAGGCTGAGGCAGGAGAATCACTTGAACCCGGGAGGTGGATGTTGCAGTGAGTCGAGATGGCGCCATTGCACTCTAGCCTGGGTGACAGAGTGAGACTCTGTTTAAAAAAAAAAAAAAGAAAAGCCTCCGACAAATGTTCTAAGCATAGATGCCAAATCAGGGCATCGGAAGGCCTTTTGAGGTTTTCTTTTGCCACCACCTCTAGCAGGGACTTCCTCGAGAGGACAAGGGATTCCAGGTACCGGCTGTCCTGCCGGGGAGTGTATAAGGCCTGACTGCCTTCACTGTTAGGTGTGATTGGTGCCCCTTGGGGTTTGGTAGCCCGTGGCCTGAGGTCTTGGGTTTATTGATGCCTGGAGTCCCAGGTTCCATTCCCTGACAATGTTATTTCTAGTCCTGGTAGTGAACTGTCACTTTGCTGAAGGGTGGGGGGTGGTCTTCCCTCCCCCACAACCGCACCCACTCTTCCAGGTACCACTTGCTAATTCCCAGAGACACTTATCCTTTCAAGCCAGGAGGAGAAATGAATGCCTAATTTGCCTCCTTTGAATAGAATGCTAATGATGGGAGGTGAGGGTGTATTCATTATTCATGTGCCACCTCCTCTCTCCGCCTCCTCCCAGGGCACAGGGACGCCTGGAGGCTTCTCAGTGGTGGAGCAACAGGTAGTCAGCCTGTCCCTGGCTGTTCTGGCTGCTAGGAGCCTCCACTGCAGGAACAGCCCCGCTGCCCCAGGTTCCCGACGGCACTGGTCCTGGGTGGCTTGGGTCACCGGGCTCAGGGCCAGTCCTGCTGAGACAAATCATCATTGCCTTGGTGAGTCTCACTTGCCCCTTGGCCTGGATGAGGTGGCGGGAGCCCCCTGCCGGGTCAAGAATGAATGATTCTTGTCTTTGAAAAGTGCTTGCTTTGCCCTCACTTCTAAAAGAAGCCTCTGTGTCCCCAGGGGAATCTTGCGGGTCAGGAGCTGGGTACCTTGTGCTCACTGGCTGCATCTTCTCCTTGCCTCCACGTTTCCAGTTGCCGCTTCTTTAAAAGGAATCGGTGCCAAACCTAACATTTATTTCCATGGCAATCTCCTGCCGGCAAGCACATCTACTTAATGGAAGTAGAGAAAGCTGGGGGTTGAGCGCGGGTTTGTGAAGGGATGGGATGGAGATGGCGTTGGAGACTGCTCTGGAGATGCTGCAGCAGGGAGCATCGAGAAAACGTGTTTCTGGGATCTTGATAAGGTTTCTGTTATGACTCACATAGTTTCACTTTCCTTTTCAATGAGATCATATTATTTTGAAAGACTGCGTTGGAGGTATGAGAAAGAACATAGCTGTGGCCTAGTTTCATGAAACATAAGGGGCTCTTAGCGACCTCCCCAGAGAATACGGAAATGGGATAGTAATATGGGATTCGCTTCTCACAGAAGCCGTGGCATTCTTGTTTGGTCTCTCATTTATTTTCAGCAAAATGCCTTGAGTGAGGCTAAGAAATAGTTCTCCTGAGAATGATTTTACAATGGCTCAGAAAACCCTTTCTGAGATTCCCATGTGATAAATCTCAGGAATTCAGTGCATTGTTCCAAAGTTTTAAAAAACTCATCAGGAATCCTGTATAGTCTACATTTTCCTAATTATGTTTTAAAGCCACTCCTTTCATTGAGCATTACATTATAGTACTGTGAAATAAAACTGTGTTAACTGGGTCATAATATATTAACTTCTTGGGGTTCATGTAAATGCATTTGACTCCTGAAACACAGAACACACTGGCATGCTGGGAAGTTAAAGGAAGTAAGGAAGGCATCAAGTCCATCGTGTGCCAGCGCTGTTGAAAACGCACATAACTCTTTACTGATTGACACAACCTTAATGAAGTCCCTGCCCCAAGGAGTTTCTGAGTCGCAGGCATAAAGTATACTGTGCAGTGGAATCAAAGGAAGAGAGATAGTACAGCATAAACCAGGCACTGCAGTAACGTTGGAGAATAGGGTTAGTGCAGCGCTCAGCATGCAGTGTAACGCCAGCACCCGCGGAGAATTTTTGCTTTATTTAATTTTTAAGGAGACATTTCTTTCAGATGCATGCGGCTGCCTCTGGTTCATAAGGATTGCAATGAATCATTTAATATGGCCACCATGGAATGCACTAGGTCACCAGCTAAAAAGACGCATCGTTTTTCTTTTCCTGTTTTTGAAGCATGAAAGTGACACATAACCTGCTTTCTTCACGGTTCAGAAACACTTTAGGAGTTTTGGGGTCCCTTGTGAACTTGGTTACCCTGTGCCTTGGTTTGATTTTACTAGGGACAATCAGAAGAGCTGTTTTCACTGTTTTGTAACACTCAGGGCCATTAGCATAGATTGGCCACAGACACCCAGCAGGTTGTGCTGAGATAAGCCTCCCCACCTCCAGTAAACCCCCCGTCTTGTTCTTCTCCCAAGACACACCCTCTTTCTGCTCATCCTGGCCTCTGCTTCTAATTTGTTATTCTCCTGTCTCTTTACAAAAATGCATTGCCAAGATACCTACTTGGTTTACACCCCAACTGCGGCCTGCCTGGGTTCACATCAGACTGCAGAACTCTCAAAGGCGGGTCCGGTCTCTCTTGATCCCTCTCTGCTTAGCACAGTGTTGGGGTGAGTTGGGCCTTACAGGTTATAAGGAAGAGAGACTCACTCAAGCTCCTTCCCATAAGACAGTTTATTGTAAGAATCTGTGCTGCAATAAAGGAGGTAGGAATCTCGTGGGCCCCCAGAAAGAGCTGCATTTTTGGTATTAAATGTGGCACGAAGGAGAGGTTCTCTTGGGACTCCAGAGCCTTGGGGAATGATA